AGTCATAAGAATTTTCTATCCATTGTTCACCTTTGTGTATTAGTACCGATTTTTTCGCATTTATAATAATGCTCTTTTCTTCTTCTGTAATATCCGTGTGCAGGGTAGCATTATTCTTATTGAATACTTAAAAATAGTATTCTTTTATTAATTTAAACAGTGTGTATCAAAAGCTAATCGACCTGACCACTAGATAAATCATAATAACGAAAAATGTACTCTCTGGTAAAACTAACGTCTCCCTTTGTATTAGAAACCAGCATTTGATCCGAGGTGCCTTAGAGCGCTCGGTTGCACAGAGCGAACAGCCCAACAAGGGTCTATTTCCGTTTGGGATTTTTTTCGAAAGCCCATATCAGCCCAGTTTTCTATCCGAAACTTGAAAAAGCAATTTCTAAAAAATAAAAAAATAAACACATCCCATCTCCCCACCCAACACACCTTTAACCATCCATCACAATAGAATAAACTTTTTTTTTTCACTGATAAAACTGAATTAGTAAAATATAGCAATCTACTTAAAGTTGTCAGTATATTACAAAAGCAAAAAAATTCTAAAAAAATTAATGGATTTATTTCTAATGTGGAATTTTTATTATTTCAAGAGAAGTAATAAAAATTATTAAATTAATTAAAAACTATTGACTTAATAAAAATTTGGATTAAAAATAAATTCATTAATTCTTTAGATATATAATTGCGTATTTGAGCAGCCTCTCATACTTGTTTCGCTGAGGTACTTTTGTTAAATTTTTATTGCCTTCTAAAAGTAACGGAAGCCCTTTTCATGAAAATGGAAAAACTAACACTTCAACATCACAACGTAATCTGAATTAAAAATATGTCTGCCTTTCAGTACCTTATACAGGGTGTCCATAAAGTTCCTATGAACTTTAAAAAATTTATAACTTTATTTGTATTTGCGATAGAAATAATTTGTAAAAAAGAATTAAAAAGAAGTAAATTTATATTTTTTTTAATTTTATTGAAATTTTATTTAAGTTTCCACATGTCCTCCATCATTAGCAATACAAAGGGTAATACGATTTTGCAGTTCACGGAAAACATTTGTCAACTGATTTACAGTAATGCCTGAAATCACATTAGTTATTTTAGCTATCCTTAAAACTAGGTACATTAAACTTTATAAAATTTTTTACAGATTATTTCTATCGCAAATACCAATAAAGTTATAATTTTTTTAAAGTGAACACTAACTTTATGGACACCCTGTATATACAGGAGGCACGATGGAGTAGTGGATGGCGGCTCGGATTGAGGAATCGGAGAGCTGAGTTCGAATTCCAGTCAAATCCATTGCCTTCATTTACGCACTTCGGAAAAGTATGAATACCTGGAGGGAGAAGATGATTTGTTGATGTTATTACGTCTACACATGCGCACAAAACGAAAGGGAGGCGCTGGTAGTTTCAACACTATTGAAAGAATAATTTTCCAATTTAGCCTTGGATGACAACTGGTCTACCACGGAAAGAAATGGCGACCTACTGCGGGAAAAATCCGCCTCGTCAGTCATGTATCGAAAGAAACATGATCGCTTAAGCGTCACTGACTGATATACCGTGTGCAAGAACAAAACCCAAATACTTAGAAATGGCTAATAGATTAGCCGTAAACGCTAAGGAACGAACAATCATGTAGATAAATTTTTAACTTACAAAAGAAAGCTCTTGTTCGCATGCAAGAAAAATACAATTAAAAAACAAGAGCAATTTGCCAGTTATATTTAATGAAACACATGCACGCACACAGACACACACACATATTAATACTGTTCGTTGATATATAAAATTATATATATATATATATGATAGAAATTATTAGGAGGACTTGATAATTATATTTAATTAATTCATCGATTCTGATAGAAAACCTCAACAGAATGCAGAAAGCACTGAAGGGCCGTTTCGTACTATAATTGGGACTCATCAGCAGTGCGTATCCACTACCGAGAATTGAAACGCTGACAGTTAGGTCTTCAAGCTAACATCATACCAACTGTTCTAATGGACCTCGGCGACGCGATGCATTAATTAAATATAATTATCAAATCCTCCTAATAATTTCTATCTGCGTATATCATTGCTTGAACCGGCTTCTAATGCTCTAGAGTGAGCGGCTTGGTGATAGTAGTCGTGGCTCCAGGGGGCACAGTCCTATGAGTAGAGTTCCACCACGGAATATGTGAGGGAGCGGCGCCATATTGAGTCTGATTTGCAATCTCTTCATCACTGAGGCCCGTTGGAACAGTTGGTATGATGTTTGCTTGATAACGTAACTGTCAGGATTTCAATTCTCGATAGTGGATGCGCACTGCTGATGAGTCCCAAATATAGGACGAAACGGCCGTCCAGTGCTTGCTGCATTCTGTTTAGGTTTCTATCAGACTCGATCAATTAATTAAATATATATATAATTTTATATATCAACGAACAGTATTTAGGAAAATAGTATAAGAAATTGGAAAAAAATGTCTTGTGATACGTTTCATTTGTTAGGATTTCATTGGACTGGGCATTGTTGATGTTGTCACGTTTACACATGCGCAGGAAACGAGAGATGCTGGTAGTTTCAAAATTTTTGAAGACTATTTTCGAAAGAATGTTTTTTTCAATCTAGCCGAATTCATCTGTATTCTTCTACTTTTTCTTTTTCTCACAATCTCCCCTGTCCCTGACTGGCCCACAGTGGGAACGTCAGGGGCAAAGGTGATAGAGACAAAAAGAAAACGAATACAGATGAACTGGGCTCGATCGAGAAAATATTCTTTCAAACATATTCTTTCCAAAATTTTGAAACTACCAGCGTCTCTCGTTTCGTGCGCATGTGTAGACGTGGCAACACCAACAAAACGTACCACGATAAAATGCCAACGGATGAAACGCGTCACAAAAACATTTTGCAAATTTGTCATACTATATATATATATATATATATATATGCGTTAAAGATCAAATGCAAACTAATATATATATATATATATATATATATATATATATATATATATATATATATATATATATATTACACTATTTTACTATTTTATGAGAAAAGCTTTGTGAATTATTATTATAAATTTTCCTTTTTATATATATATATATATATATATATATATATATATATATATATATATATATATAAATCATCCATAACTTTTGCAGCAAATTAGACCAAACTAAATCATCCATATTTAACTTTTGTTATCAAATATCCTCTCAAACTTTTTAGACAAAAAAAATGCCGTTCTGAACAAGCAACTGTATATATATATATATATATATATATATATATATATATAATATAATATATATATTATATATATATATATAAAATTATAGAATATAATACAACTAATAGTAATAAAAATTATATGAATATTTCCAAAAGGATTTCAGGAGTTCTATGTCAGAAAAACAATTATCATTATAAAGTTTTAATAATATATATATATATATATATATATATATATATATATATATATATATTATGAAAGGACATTTTATAATAAATAACGAAAGCTTTTTATTTTTGTCAAACTTTTGCCCATAAAATAGTAAAATAGTGTAATATATATATATATATATATTGGTTTGCATTTGATCTTTAACGCATATATATATATATATATATATATATATATATATATATATTATCTCACATTATCTCTCTATATATATATATGTGTGTGTGTTTTGTGTGTGTGTGTGTGTGTGTGTGTGTGTGCGCGCACGTGTGTGTGTGGTAATATTAGCCAGCTGACAGTTTAAATATTTCTTAGCTGGTCTGACGCCATGCATGACATCCATATGAAAATCTCGATCTGACGAGGCTATTTAAGAATATAACTCGGGTTCTTGGTATAATGTTTCGGGATTTATAGCAATTTGCGGTGTTGGACGAAACTACCCCTGACACAGCCTTTTCTATGTTTTAATTTAAATAAAATATAAAGTAAGCAACACGTCCCTCTTACTATATATATATATATATATATATATATATATATATATATATATATATATATATATATATATATTAGAATGAATCATTCATACAAAAAGTAAGTTTGTAAACTTAATGATATAAAATGGCGAATTCACTTTGCTAACCAAATTTTAAAGATGCATTAACACACTAATCACTTGATGAATGTTATGATCCTTGTTTTTTTTAAATTATAAACTGTATTAGGTTTTTCTTAAATATGAACGTACTTTCGACGGGTTCTCCGGTCATCATCAGGCATAGAAAATATTTTTACTTAATTTTACTTTTTTCATTTAAATTTTCAAAAATCCAACCTTAGCGTTGCGACGGCACGCTCCACAATTTTGTGTCACTTATCAATAACACATTTAAAAAAAAACATATTTCGGTTTGTCAGGACGTTGACGATCATGGCGCTCCACAGTTTCCTGTCGTTTGTCGCTCTTAATTTTGTCTCTTTGTTATCTCTCCTAAACCTTGCTCCGTCATCCATTTACTCAAGCTCTCGTGGTAGATTATGTGCTGTTTTCCTCTGTCCCTCTTGCCTTCATTCTGTCCTGTGAGTTTCAAATTATGTGCCTGACCCCCCCGCCTATATTTCAACTGATGTTAAGTATAAATATATCTTTTGTTTCTGTTGTAAATAAACAAACTGAAGTTTTCTAAATAGTAAACCATAGGATAAACTACATACACACATGATATGCCAATTAATTAAAAATGGGTTGTACTATTGATAAAGACAAAAGAAAATTATATTTAATAAATTTTTTTTTTTCAAATTGAAAAAAAAAAAGCAGAAAAAGATTACTCTGTAAAACTGATGTTGATTTGGAAACGACTAATTGATTGGATAAAATGTGTTGTCATCTAGGAAAGGTTACTGAGTGAGGAATAACCAAAACGGAGGTTGGAAATGAAATTTTTTTTACAAATCGCCAGCGGCGTAAAAAAAAAAAGACAGACAAAATTTATGAGGATTGGGACATACATTAGTGTTCATAGGTAAGGTATAAAACAATAGATAATGAAGAGATGGGATAGATAGATTTAGGAAAACGAAAACACGGAGATAGATAGATAGATGATAGATAGAAATGATAGATAGATAGATAGATAGATAGATGTTCTAATCTAGGAAAGGTTACTGAGTGAGGAATAACCAAAACGGAGGTTGGAAATGAAATGGTAATCTTTATAACATCAGCAAAATACAATACTCGCCAGCGGCGTAAAGTAGGTAAACCACTGCTAGTGGTGGACTACTTAGACAGCATAGTACCCACCACACTTACAATAGTGTCCAACGTATTTATGAGGATTGGGACATATACATTAGTGTTCATAGGTAAGGTATATATAACAATAGATAATGAAGAGACTGGGATAGATAGATATATAGGTAGATAGAAAACGAAAACACGGAGATAGATAGATAGATAGATAGATAGATAGATAGATAGATAGATAGATAGATAGATGTTCTAACGTAGGAAAGGTTACTGAATGAGGAATAACCAAAACGGAGGTTGGAAATGAAACGCTAATCTTTATAACATCAACAAAATACAATACTCGCCAGCGGCGTGAAGTAGGTAAACCACTGCTAGTGACGGACTACTTAGACAGCATATTGAACGTTATTACGTATAAAAATACATAATTAAGGCACAAGGCCAAAAAAGGGGAGGGCTTGAGGCTGGTCAACACTATCTTACTGTGTACATGTAACCTAGAAAGGTTACCGAATGAGGAATAACCGAAACGGAGGTTGGAAATGAAATGGTAATCTTTATAACATCAACAAAATACAATACTCGCCAGCGGTGTAAAGTAGGTAAACCACTACTAGTGATTGACTACTTAGACATCATAGTACCCACCACGCTTACAATAGTGTCCAGCGTATTTATGAGGATTGGGACATACCTATTAATCTTCATAGGTACGGTATATAACACCTCTCGATTTTAGATTTATTCTGCACAGAGTTAATATCTTTTCCTTTTCGGATTAATGTCGATTCTCTCTGTATCCTTTCTTTTTCTCTTACTTTGTCTTTTTGGGGATTTTTATCTCAGGAGCTTTCCGAGGAAGGGGCACATCCAATATGTCGAGAAGAACTTCCATAGACTCAACATCCACTGGAGTATCTATATGCTTACTTTTTGGTTGATTCAAATGTCTTTTGTGCACCATTTCCAGTCCTTTGATTAAATACCGATTCTTTTAACGATAGTTCCAACTTACCTATATCTCACCCTTGACGCCAAAATGTTGTAACCTAGAAAGGAGGTTGGAAATGGTAATCTTTATAACATCAACAAAATACAATACTCGCCAGCGGCGTGAAGTAGGTAAGCTACTCATTGAAAGATTCGTTAAAAGGATTCCTAGTAGCCCATGCCTTAAAGGAATACAAAAATTTGTTCTCACAAATACAGCCTACACCTTACGAAGGGCTTTATGTAAAATATGTGTAATCTTAGGTGTGTTTATTTCCCTCATAAAATGCTCAGTGTAAAATATCATGACGCCATTTCTGACCTTAGGTTTCTACTTGGGACTGGGAAAGAAAGAAATAATAATAATAATAATAATAATAATAATAATGAGCCACACAAACAGAATGTGCTTCCTCATTTACAGGAGAGTCTTTGAAGATTGTCATGTATTTTTGAGATCTTCGAAAAACTATCAAAATACAAGGTTTTTTTTTTTCAAAATTTCTCAGTGAAAATGTCATGATGGCATTGCTGACCTTAGATCTCTGGTCGAGACCCGGAAAGAAATGAGTATACACCAGGAAATAATAATAATAATAATAATATCTTATTCGGTCAATAAACAAAATAGAAGACCCATGAAAAAAAAATAAAAATTAAAAATCAGAATTTTTGGGGAGACGCCCGTGTCCTTTTGCAATGAAAACTAAACCAATTCGTTTTTCTTGAGTTTATTTTTTGTTGAGAAAGACACAGGCGTGTCCGTAAAATTCAGATTTTTAACATTTTCCTCATATACATACATATATAAATATGTACGCCTTCATAACAACTTCATTTAGACACTTCTATCGCTATCAATTTGCAAGAATATGGAGGCGCAAAATTAGCTTTCAAATAAAGTACTGACTGTACAAAACACTGGTCGTCTCCATTTTTATATATAGATGTGAAATGTGGACACTTTTGGCAGAAACAGTGAGAAGGATCCAAGTGTTTGTGAATAAATGCATGAGAAAACTCCTTGGCATCTTCTATTGGGAACATAAAATGAATTTCTGAAGGAAAAGGGTTAAACGTTTTGTGGGCCACTAGGAACCTCTTCTCGCCACTGTCAAACGGAGAAAAAATGACGTGGTTTGGATACGTTACAAAGCACGACAGCTTGTGAAAGACCATCATGCAAGGCACCTTTGAAGGTGGACGTAGAAGAGGACGCCAATGCAAAAACTGATTGGACTGTTAGACATTTTCATGACGGTCGTCCTCGAGTATAGAATCCAGAGGTTGGCAGTGAATATTTCGGGATACGGTAGGAAAGCGTAGTGAAGGTTCGCAGTGGATATCGCAGCAAAGTAGCAGAGCGTAGTTCTTCCATCTGTCCTGTTCGCCGGACAAGTTGCCTCTGGTAAAACAAAGATGGCCGCCTTTATACACGACGGATACAGTGTTGGGCGGCTTCCGATTGGTCAACCTTCCATTGGTCGACTATAAAGGGAAATAAGTCATTTTGACTCGCTCACTAGTCATATACGGAATAGACCCCAAAAAACCGTAACATGGACAATGTCAGACAATGGACAGGTATGACTGTACCAGAATTACTGATGGTTGCCGTTGATAGACCGTTGTGGGGGAGATTCAATATGGCTTCTGCATTCGGATCCCCACGACGATTACAAAAGTCAAGGGATGACGATAATGATGATGATGATGACCTTGAGTGGCTCCTGAGCCTTCAGTTGGGTGAAAAATATTAAAATTAAAAAAGAGAAAAAATACCATTCGTGTATGCATTTATTTTGAGAGGAGAAAAATGAAGTATATTTTCGTCATTTGATGTTCCATCTGCTCAAGAAGTCAAAACGCAGTACAATCAGCAAAAGAAATGTGTGCCGTTTATGGAGATGGTGCCATAGCTGAGAGTAATTTTCGTAAGTGGATCTCTAGCTTCAGAATTGGGAATTTTGATTTGGAATACTGTGAACATTCTTGCAGATGACGAAGAAATCGAAAATGCTGATTGCAAATAACCCAGGTCACACGACACTGGAAATCTCAAAGATAATTCTCGTGTCTCATATGACCGTTTTAAGACATTCGAAAACACTTGGGTGCATTCTTTTTTTTTTCTTTTTTTTTTTTGTGTTATCCACCCAATGCAAGGGTCAAGTTTGAGTCAAGATAGAGGGTTTCAAATTAAGGTTGCTGAAATTTTCAAATTAAGGGTTACAGGAAGGTAGCAAGAGATGCTAATTATGAAAAGATTGGACGGTTGAACCTCTTCAGAGATTTCTCAGGAGTATGTTCCACAATGCAACAGTTCTGAGGAAGAAACTGCCCTAGCAGAACTTCCTCCTTACTGATGCAATATGAAATGAGTGAGAATGAGGTGTGGATGCGCGGTGGTTTAATAGAGAAATAAGAAAGTCGGAAATAGTACTGGGGAAGGTAAAATTCATCTCTTCTTCCTCCCCCAGTTATAGCTTAAACAGCAGGACAGACTGGGCCATATATTCAGTATATACGATGCTTGTGAGACCCTAAGGGATTACGGGAGTCCTGATCGTGATTCATTAGGATGAATTGACTCAGTGTACGAGGCTAAGCGGGACCTAGTTGTGAAGGAAGGAAACAAGTACTGTAGCCCGCCCGAAAATCTGCCATGAAGATTGTTGAAGCATAACTATAAATACAGTAGTAAATACTGTATGTTGGTCTGTAGTCGGAGATTCGTCTCCAGCTGTGCTGGTCAAACTCTCTGACTCCGGGCAGAGAGGATCCGCAAACGAGGCTATGTCGAAGAGCAGAGTCTCGTCTCAGGAAACAGCTACCCGATCCCGTTTTATACGTGGTCTACGGGGATATTTTTTGCCAAGCCTACCGGCTCGGATACCCCACATTAAATTCGGCCTTGTGCCACATCTGACGGCATGGGGCTGTTGGTAGATATCCTGCAGTTAGAGGTTCGTTGTAGAATTCACTTGACTCACATCTATCTACGCGCCGCTTGTCTACTACTTCTACGCGCCGCTGGCGAATCTTATAGGTGTTGTTTTTGTCCTAAGTATTATCGTTCATTACCAACCTTCGTTTGACTATTCAATTCAGTAACCTTCCCAAAGATATTGATAGATTAGTGAAAGGCTAGCAACGCTTTGTCTGTTGGAATTTGGTTGTAGTGTGGAAAACAATTCTTCGTTCAGAAGGCTACGCAAACTCTTTTGAGATCTCTCCAGGTTGGAAAGTAAGGATTGGCCGGCATTTTGGGTCTGACCTAATTATTTGCAAGAGCTGGATGAGACGTGCAAGTTCGAAGGACCTTGATACATTCTAGAGCGGTACAAGGAAGCGTGATGTGTGTGCGACTGTTCGAAATATCCTCACCATACCAGAATTGCCGATGGCTACCGTTGATAGACCGTTGTGGGGGAGATTCAATATGGCCACTGCATTCGGATCCCCACTACGATTACAAAAGTCAAGATGATGATGATGATTATATATATATATATATATATATATATGTGTGTGTGTGTGTGTGTGTGTGTGTGTGTGTGTGTGTGTGTGTGAAGATAATGAGATAAAGTGAAAAAATATAGACGCGTTTCACCTAGAGCGTCTGCTGTCTCTGACCTACTCGGGTTCGAATGAAAGAGAAACAAAAGTGTATGGAAGGGAAAATGCATTGGTATCTCTGAAGATACGTGAGGATGATATATGACGGGAGTGAGGATGAGATACGGATAGTTTAATAGATAGAGAAATGGGTTATGGGTTAAACAGCAGGCCAGACTGGACCCTATATGCAGTATATACGATGCTTGTACGATCCTAAGGGATTACGTGACTTGTGATCGTGATTCATTAGGATGGATTAACTCAGTGTACGAGGCCAGGCGGGATCTAGTTGTGAATGTACAAAACAAGTACTGTAGCCTGCCCGAACATCTGCTATGAAGATATTGATAGATTAGTGAGAGGCTAGCAACGGTTTGTCTGTGGGAATTTGGTTGTAGTGTGGAAAACAATGCTTCACAAGGCCGCGCAATCTCTTTTGAGATCTCTCCAGTTTGGAAAGTAAGGATTGGCCGGCATCTTGTGTCTGACCTAACCATTTTCAAGAGCTTGATCAGGCGTGCAAGTCCGAAGGAGTTTGATACATTCTAGAGCGGTACAAGGAACCGTGATGTGTATGAGACTGTTCCAAATGTCCTCGCTATAACAGAATCACCGATGGCTACCGTTGATAGACCGTTGTGGATTATATTTAGTATGGCTTCTGCATTCAGATCACCCCTGCAATTACAAAAGTCAAGGTGATGATGATGATGATGATGATGGCATCTATGTGTGTGTGAAAATAATGAAACAAAGTGAAATATATAAACGACACGTTTCGCCGAGACCGTCTGCTCTCTCTGGATTCCTCGAGTTCGAATGAAAGAGAGACAAAAGTATGTGTAAGGGAAATTCAAATCCTCACTGGGGTGGCTGTTTATAGATTCACATGTATTACAGATCTTTCCCGCGCTTACAACCCGGATGCAGGAGTGTGAAATCACATGTTTTCAATAAAGCCGCCTGGAGTGACCCATTATAACCCTCTGGAGCATCCAGCTATTTGATAAACTACAATGTCTATTCTTGAATCATATTACAAACAAGAGGGCCATATTAAATCAAAGCCGTGCAACTGGGTTTTGAGATAAATTCGGATGCTTTTCGGACATACCTCATTTTTTGAACACTAAGTCTGTTACAAATAAAAAGAAATGTTTAGCAAAATTCCTGTCATTATCTTTGCGAAGAACTCGATGCGATATTATTTAAGGAAAAAAAATGTTTCCTGCTTCCAGGAATAATTCCACCAGGAAATAAAACGTGCCAAGCTTAAATATACCGCATAACTTTTTAAAGACGTTCGTCCGTTCTTGAAGGCACTGAATCTTCGCGCAGTTTGGGAATTGTACCGTTTCTTCAGAGTGCCAGCTGAGGTGAATGAACGGGTTCGTCTGAAATCTTGCGAACCAAATATATCAATAAAAGAAGTGAATATTCGTGTATAAGTCGAACTGCATCTTCGAGCAATTTGGGTGTTGTACAGTCCCGATTGCTGATTCAAGGGATTGAAGTGGTGTACCTACGAACCTCCATTATATTTGCTACTAGAAATTGAAATAAAAGAAGTGGATACTCGTGTATATGTCGACCTAAATATTCGAGCAATTTGGGTGTTGTACAGTCTGATTGCTGACTCAAGGGAATGAAGTGGGGTACCTACGAACCTCCATTATATTGACTTCTAGAAATTGAAATAAAAGAAGTGGATACTCGTGTATAAGTCGACCTAAATCTTCGAGCAATTTGGATGTTGTACAGTCCCGATTGCTGACTCAAGGGATTGAAGTGGTGTACCTACGAACATTCATTATATTGGCTACTAGAAATTGAAATAAAAGAAGTGGTTACTCATGTATAAGCCGACCTAAATCTTCGAGCAATTTGGATGTTGTACAGACCCGATTGCTGACTCAAAGGAATGAAGTGGTGTACCTACGAACCTCCATTATATTGGCTACTAGAAATTGAAATAAAAATAAGTACGTAATCGAGTATAAGTCGACCTAATTCTGTTTGATTTTTACGGCTTATTTTATTGTTGCTTAATTTCGGATCGTAGGAGATCGTTTACTGTTATGGCCTTATTAGGGCCAGGAATAAAGACAAGAGAAGAATTGAGTTAAACAAATATATTAACAGAAACAGTAATACAAACGAGAGTGTTACAGCAAGAATGTCCGGTTCGACTGTCAGAGCTGACTGCTGGAAGCTCCCTCTCCAAAAGGCAGGACCTGCTCCTATTTATAGCTGGGAGAGTCTATGCGTGCGTGGATCAATTACCATAACAGGATCAAACTTAGATAGATAGATAGATAGATAGATAATGAACTGACTGAGATGAGGAACTGTTGTGCCCTTATTAGGGCCAGAAATAAAGATACAAAGAGAGGAAATGTGTTAAACAAATATATTAACAGAATCAGTAATACAAACATATACAAACAAGAGTGCTACAGCAAGAATGTTCGGTCCGACTGTCAGAGCTGACTGCTGGGAACTTCCCTCTACAAAACGCAATACCTGCTCCTATTTATAGCTGGGAGTATCCATGCATGCGTGGGTAAATTACCATAACACTTACAGATATTTTTACAGTGATGTCCCCCTGTACAAGGCCAAAGAGCCACTTAAGGTAGAGGGTTACAGAGTAAGAGGTACAGTTTATGTGGAGATGCGGGAAGATAATGGTTAATCCTAGACTTGAACTGGTTAAGATTGTAGTGATTGGGAAAGCATCCTCTTGGGAGTTCGATCCCTAGAACAGTGGTTCACGGGAAGAAGCTTCTCGAGTTGAACTTGCATCTCACCAATGGAATACGAAGGGAATGAGGGTGGTTCGCTGCAATGTGTGTGACACTGGGGGTCTTAGCCGTGAAGGTTAGAATTGGTGGAACTAAGGAATGTAGCTCGTCTGAGCACTTTCCATCAAAATAGCGATAGACCAGTGAGAGGCTTGCGATGTTTTCGTCTGTGGGAAAGAGGCTGCAGGGTGGAAAATAATTCATCACCCACAAGGATGGGGAGACGCCTTTTTGGACTATATCAAGACTGGAAAGGGAAAACTGTAGTATATATATATATATATATATATATATATATATGTATAATTAGTGCATTTTTATTTATTAATGCGACATAATTTTCTTTAAACGTAATTTTTAGTGGATACCCATATTTGATAGACTGTTATAACAAACGAAGCCTCTACTCCACTATAAATATTTACTAAAAATAACCTTTAAATTAAGGCCAGAAAGTTTTCTTTATCTAAGTCCATCCTTGAAATCTATAAATTAACCATCTGTCCTTGCATAGAATACTGCTGTCGTACATGGACAGGTCCCCACCTGTTCATCTAAAGGTCCTAATCTCATCTATAATCATTTTCAGACCTCTGTCTTTTCTACAAGTATTTTCAGACTGCATGAATTTAAACGCTAAAGCTACTAAGCTACAGTTGGCAACTCGGTCCCACCCCCTTTTCACTGTCGAGACAGATAAATATATCCGTCTCTTCTACCTCACACTTCCCATCTGTGGAACTCCTTTCCTCTTACTTGCTTCCCTGATAACTCTGATCTTCAATATTTATCTAAGTCGGACAATAGTCATCATCTTTGTCGCCATATTTGTCACAACGTTCAGGTGGTTGGAATTTCGAACTGAACCCTTTATTTCGATCGCTGGGGTAGACTGTTCTAATTCCACGTGCCATGTTAATTTTCCCTCTGAAAGTTCTCCACTGCCTTAACCAGGAATTGAACTCACCTTCTTTGGGTCTGTCACTGGATCTAACCAACGCCTTATCCACTGTGCCATGTGTTGAGGACATCTGGGTATGAACTTGAGTATTATAAACCTAATGTTTTCAGCATCATTTTTACCAGTGCTCATATTGCAATTTTTTTGCTGTTATCATTGCATGTCTTTACCAGAGTTCATATTGCAACTTTGTTATCATTGCTTTTCTCTGGCACTCCTTATTAATGGTTCCTATATTGTATTTATTTCTATGCTTGGTCGGCTCAGGAGATTTTTTGGCCTAGCATATGTGCTGATTCCTTAAGTTTACGAATTTTCCAATGGTGTTCCCTGTCTATGATCTCAACATGATCCCACAGGGGGCGGTGATCTCCTCTCTCCATATGTGGTCAGCCATGATTTTTGATCGACAAAGATGAGGACAATAGTCCGACTAATGTAAATACTGTACATAATACCTCATCTCAGAAATATAGACAAACTCTGATCTTCAAATATTCAAATGTAATATCAATCGACATCTTCTGATGCCTTGATCTTGTTCTCCGTCCTTTTCTTTATTCTTTCCTCGTGTATGCCTCTTTACTCTTGCTCTTACTCTCTGTAACCCCTATACTATATTATAAACGATTATGTCTTGTGTCCTTATTAAAAGACATTAACTTTCAAACTGATGCAAATGGTTACAATAAATGAACACATGTCAGACAGTCAACTCTGTAAAGAAATAAAATCGGGGGCGGGTAGAGAGGTAATTTAACCGAATGCCCAACAAGTTATAAGCTTTGTGGATTTCCTGCATAATTTTTTTGTAGTAGATAAATACGAGGCCTCTTTAAGAAACTAGTAAATAATCTAGACATATAGAATTATTTGGTAATTAATATGCAACCATTAAATAAATATCATCGATATTAGATGTTAATAATATCAACCAATCAATGTAAAATATCAAAAATACTAACTAAATACCAATACACCAGTATAAGATGTTAATAATACAACCAACAGATCAATTCTAAACTAAATTAAACCCAAATTAACCATACAAAAAGAAAGATAAGCCATATATGGTGCAACACAGTCCAACTAAAATCTAAGAAAAAACATTGTCAAATTTCAAAATTTAACTGAATTGTAAGGTAAAAAGAAGACTGTGTTTACAATTTACTGTTAATTCGGATCTTTGATCTAATAAAGAATTCTTAGCAAAGAAACTGACAATTTCCAAACACAGAAAACAGGGTTCATATAAGGATCTGATGAGCACAAAAGTGTGAAATCCACGGTCACAAACTCATATCCTTACAACTGAATATATTAGCTCACTGGCATTAAGCACCTTCCAATTAAGTACTGCGCATACAAATAAATATATATATATATATATATATATATATATATATATATATATATATATACTTAATAATTAAACGTAGGCAATGAATATGTAACCTAAAATATGGAATGGACATGTGATATTTGAATAACTGATCTATCCAGAAACAAAATATTTTAGGAGAGATATATAATATGCGTACATGTTTGTCGCTTAGGTGATAGATGTTACCTTCAGCATCCCTATATATATATGTATATATATATATATATATGTGAACATTGAAATCAACACTCAGAGGGGACGGGCAATCATCAGCCCGTGAGTGTTGGATTCATTCTCGACTATTTATATATATGGGTCAGTGGTGTATGTGGGTAATCCATTTTGGCGGTTATTTTGGCGAGAATGGCTTGTTTATTTAATTAAATAAAATCAAGTAAAATAAATTAAACCAAATAAATAAAAGAAAGGTGAAAAGGCCTAGGCGTAGATAAATATTTGGGTAATATTCAATGGCGGCACTCTCGAGGATTTTCCTTCTGAGTGAGTTATTTTCTTTTTTTATGAGTGTAGCATTTTTAAAATCAAAATTGTAATTGAATTTATTTCTATGTATGACTTTGAGGTCTCTTTTTTTCCTACATAATTTAATACTCTCAGAAAAAAAGGTATTTTCTTATATATACAGTTTTTATATCATAAAATGTATTGTTGGTCATTTTACCATAAAATGCATTTTTATATGTTTTTTAGTGTTGCATTGGTTGTCATTTTGCTATAAAAAATATATCGTTCCTCATTTTATTATAAAAAATATACTGATTTTTATTTGGGGGTTTCACTATTTGCCCAGAGCTGGGACCCTAACAGGTGCTACCACCTCGTGTCAGAGTTGACCTAGTAACAACTAAATTAAAGGCTGTTCTACGCTCCTCAAAATCTCCAATCTCGCGATCAGAAGCCTTGCTGCCAGATGTAGTTTATGATCATACCCAGGACGAAAGTGTGCTTGTGTAAAACCTGTGATTGACGGACTTTTAAAAAGAAGAAAATTACATTTAATAGCTGTCATGGTTGGCTTAGCATCCCCAAAGAAGATTAACGGTACAGTTTTCGTTTAAAAGGATTTATGAAGAATGGTGGCGTAATAAAAAGCGGCTCGGATTGGAGAATCGATGAGCCGAGTTCGAAGTCCAGTCGAATATATTACATTCACTTACATTCTAATACTTTTGGGAAAGGTCTGAATCCTTTTCTCCCCACTCCCGTCTATGGGTAAATAACAGAACAGACCGGGTTCTATAGCCTTGGATAGCTACTGGTCTACCGCAGAAAGAAATAGCAACCTACTGCGGGAAAAAAAATCTGCCTCGTCAGTCATGTATCGAGAGATACATGATCGTCTAAGCGTGTATCAGGCATGGCATATAAATGATTATTTTTTTTTCAGAAAGAGCGATAATGACTTATTTAAATCCCTCGAGGAAGGCAAAAGGGAAAGGATTATCTACTTTTAAAGATTAAGGAATTTAACATCCCGTTAAAAAATATCAAATGATAAAGACTTGACTTAGCCATGTGATTGATGTCTTGCTGGATAAATTATATATATATATATATATATATATATATATATATATATATATATGAAGAAAAATATATACGGAAAAAACAAACAAAAATCCTTATATGCAATTATGCTGTTTTAATGTTAATATGTCAACGTCGGACGTTTCGGTCTAATAAACCATCTTCAGGGCATATTCATAAAATATAATTAACATTATCAATTCAACATGACAAAGACGATGTACATAAAAACAAGACTTATCCAAACAGATAACTGAAAGTTTTATAAGATCAGCGCTCCGTTTAAAACATGGTCACGTTGTCGTCACGTGGGCGACGCTGTGAAAACGTATTCCTAAAATTTAACTATATTTTATGAATATGTCCTGAAGATGGTTTATTAGACCGAAACGTCCGACGTTGACATATTAACATTAAAACAGCATAATTGTATATAAGGATTTTTGTTTGTTTTTTCCGTATATATTTTTCTTCATACTGTCGGATCTATATCCATATATTTGCTTACATATATATATGTACATACGCAGAGGGTGCGATGGATAAATTGTCGTCTAAATTACCCCCCAAATGAAAATAACACTGACATTTTAACTGCTGTATTTACTAAAATTACACAAAAATATCTTGAAATATTAAAGAGTAAATTTATTCAATAAAA